CATTCCAAGCGTTCGCGACCGGCTGGGGTTGGTCGTGAGTCGATCCTGATTTCCAGCCCACTTTATCTTAGTAGAGACAGCCAACGCAAGACTACCAAGAAACCACGCTACACCTACTACCCCAAGGGAGAGATATGCTCCTTCAAAATGACTCTTTGGAAATAGGGATTTAGCGGTTTGGATTCCCTGTGTAAACGTACGAGGAGAACAAAAATAACCTCAAAGATGCTTGTTATCAATTCCAGAGATGACAGGCGACAGGGACTACTAATCACTCCTTAGGAGTACGTAGGACGTTTTTGTTCTAATAGTGGGCACCATGTAGCGAAAACAGTCCTTCCGGGTAATATACTACTACAAAGAAACTAACTACAGCAGAGAAGAGATGCCAAACAATGAACCGGTCCTTCGCATTGAAAGACCAAACTGCTTGAACTAAATGACCTCTCAATAGACCCATTCGACTTTCACAGATCGCATAATTTGCCTACGTCACAGGGGGGACATTTCGAAAGAACGTCATTCTAGAACGCTGAAGTCGAACGGAGCTTGCGCTCTCGGTGTCCCCCCTGTTAGATCATTTTTTTACTAAAAGGTAGGTAAGTGTCTATTTTCTTGGTAATATATGCGGACATGACAGGAAAACAGGCACCAACTTTGTATGGTGGCATTCCGTACAGCAATTTAAGGTTATTTTGTTTTGTGACGTATGCAGTTTATGCGATCCGTGAAAGGAACTTTCGAAATGTCCCCCCTGTGACGTAGTTTCTATTCAAAATGTCCCCCCTGTGACGTAAGCACTTAATGCGATCCGTGAAAGTCGAATGGGTCTATTCATCAACTAATCTTTTTTTTAGATATTTCGTGGCCTGTTTATAATGTTATCCGTTGGACTTGGACACTAAACAACTGCTTACTTATTTATCCATTTCATCACAACTACTTTGCGTCTGTAAAGTTTAAAGTAATTGTCTTGTACGTGTATCGTCACTCACTTTGTCCTGTTCATTTCTCTAGTTTGTACTGCGAAGAACAGAACAACTAGACTGCATTGTATCATGTTAAGGGTGAAAGTCCAATCATCTTAGATACCGTTCCTGGTAAAAGTGAAAGTTAAGGAGCCAATCGAACGTGACAAGGTGCTAATAAGGACCGCAGACTGCTTCTCCGGTTTGTCAGAAGACAAGTGTTTAGTTTACCGCCTGTGACGGCTGTGTTGTCAGCTGTGCTACAGTCAGATTTGAACAGTTACTCAAGCAGCTGGATATGATTTTGGAAACGGTCAGACGTTTCAGCTAGTATCCACTAGCTTTCGTCAGTAGTGAGTCACTGACGAAAGATAGTGGATGTTACCTGAAACGTCTGTTGAAGACAAGTGTGTACTCAGTAGTTTACCGGCCGTGTCGGCTGTGTTGTCAGCCGGGCCAGACGGTCTCACGTCTGTCTGACTGTCGCCACATTCCGGAGTTTTAAACACCGATTCGGGCTATCAATCTACAACCAGATCTTTAGTTTAGGTGGCTACAACCAAGGAGGTTAAGCTTCTCCTTACAACTGACCCTACAAGGCAGTATGAAATTTGACAGAGCAGTATCCAAAATGCCACCGTTTGGTTTGTAGAATAATCCCGATACAAAAAACAAAACGCCTAAAAACATAGAAAAACAAGTCGCCAGGTGGCCACAAGTTACGCAATTTTAGGTCTCATCAAGACTTACCCACATGCCACATTTCATGACATTCTATTCATAGCTTGAGTTATCGTGCTATAAAACTACAGATTCCATGACTGTCTGGTTGTAGCAACACTGCTATCAGACTATCAATCTCCAAGCAGATCTCGACAGGACGGTATCCAATGTTGCAGCCACCAAAAGATCTGCCCGGAGATTGCCACATTCCTGAGTTAAACACTGACCCAGGTTATCTGACAACGGAGTATTAAACTTCTGATATATTACCTGTGCGATGTTAGCCTCGTCAGCAGCCGTACTGGCTGGCCTTTTGTATTCTTGATTTGTCTCGTACTCTTGGGGCCCACAGGAAGCCTGTTGGAGGCTACCGAGGCTACCAGGTGGTGTACCGAGGTCAACGTTTCAGGTAATTGTAGGGCCCACAAAGAAGCCTGTTGGAGCCTAAGGCATGTAGTCTGCCTGAGACGACTGTTGGAGGCTACGCCTAGCGCCTGTAGCCTTCCTCAGAAGCCTGTTGGAGGCTACCACCTGCAGTCTGTAACCGGGCACTGAGGTTGATTGTCAGGGCCCACAGAGGAGCCTGTAGAAGGCTACGCCAGTAGTGACTCCCCCTAGACCAAAATTGATTACACTGGGTTCCACCGTGTAGCCTGTTGGAGGCTACTGCCGGTAGTCAGGCTGGGTACTTTTAGTAACTAGGCTAATGTTCTCGGTTAGTGTTCTCTGTAATTGCCTGTGCGCTGGACCCAATTTGCCGAGAGACGTCTGCGCTATGTTAAACCCGTCATGCGGACAACAACAAAGTCTCACCGACAACATGTTAGATACACAACGTCGCTTATCATATACAAAACAGCACTTATCATATACACTACATCGCTTATCAGATATTTTACATCGCTTATCTGATGCAAAACATCAGTTATCGGATGAAACCTGGTCTTGTTTTTGGCCTGCGAAGGATAGCGGTCACAAAATAAAGTGGTCGCGGGTTCAATTTCTTATTAGACGTTGAAAAAAGGCACTTTGCACGACTTTCTTCATTTCACCCAGGTGCAAAATGTGTCCCTAACTTCGGTTGGGGGGTAAAAGGCAGTAGAAGGAGGGGGATGGGCTCCACCTTCCAATACCGTGCTCTAGACACAGTAGACTAACAACCCACTGCCCCTATGGCCCCCAAAAAGGCTACTTTACCATTGTGTTTAAGGTTGACCCTTTCCTTCAGTGGGTTCACTCTGATTTGGCCGTTGTCAATTAAGTATTACGTAACCCGCCCCCTCCCCCTCTTGGACTGTCCGTCACGGTCATTTCAAGGTCATCCCCCTCCCCACACACAAGTTATTTTCATCGCTTCAAGATTTCTGTTCCTTCCTTCCTTAAAAAGGTGGTGACATAAACTCTCGTCTCTCTGTGGGAACGACTTGAATTTCGCCTTTGTTTACTTGTTGTTGTTTGTCTTTCATTATCACCAAGGTGACAGTAGTCCTTGACCAACAAACGTTGTTGTTGTCTTTGTAGTTCATGACTAAACAGTTCACTACCAGGGTGGTAATGTTACATTTGGTAAAAAGTTCGATAATTTCAAGGCAGAATTTGTATTTTTCTCATGATTGTTATGTATAGGTAGGACTTTTATTCCTGGAATAGTATCTTATAATATTGTGTGATTGTAAATGTCTGTTTCTGTATCTGTATGTCAGGGGTTTTTCTAGAAAAATTTAGCATGAGGGAGCAGATCGCAAGCATGACAAGGAACGAAGCAACCAAGGGGGTATTTTTTCTTATAAGAGTAGCCACTTAGGGTTCAATCTGAAAATTGATATGAGGGAGCTAGCTGGTTACACGAGGGAGCAGCTCCCTTATTCCCGATTAGAAAAAAACCCTGTGTATGTAATTGGAGCCCTGGAAGATTGGCATTTATTGGCTAAAGGGCATCCCAGTAAACTGAAACCAAACGCTGTTGTCTTTGCACTTTCAGACCGTCACAAGTCCAACACTCACTAGCAGTAGCCATGATGGGAGAGCCAGAGACGAGAAGAGGAGGTTGGAACCAGCGGTTTGGACGCCCGGAGAAGATCCAGACTGACCCCGGTAGCAAGGGGAAGGTTGTAGGGTCCGGCGGGAACAAGTTTGCGGCGATGCGGGCCATGTTCGAGCGGGGAGCCGCGGAGGAAGGAGCGAAAGTTCCCGCGCCGGTCTCCCGACGGGCTCGGACCAAAGACGCGAGCAAGAAGCGGCCAGGCAGCTGGATACTTCACGATAAGGAATCTGAGACCACGGAAAAGTCGTCTGATAGAACTGTCAGTCAGAAAACGGCGACGTTTTCCCGCGAAAAAACGGCAGAGTCGGCGGAAAAGTCGTCCGATAGAACTGTCAGTCAGAAAACGTCGGCGTTTTCCCGCGAAAAGGCAGGATCGTCTGATACGGAGGACAGGGTGTCGAAGCTGTCGTCTGATCGAAGTGTCAGTCATAAAATGGCGGCGTTTTCCCGCGAGAAGTCATCGGAGACGACGGAAAAGTCGTCAGATAGAACTGTCAGTCAGAAATCGGCGTTTTCCCGCGAAAAAACGACAGAGACGGCGGTAGGATCGTCTCGCATGAAGCTGTCGTCTGAAAGAACTGTCAGTCAAAAAACGGCGATTTCCCGCGAAAAGACGCAGGAGTCGGCGACAGGATCGTCTCGCACGAAGCTGTCGTCTGATAGAACTGTCCATCAGAAAGCTTTTTCCCGCGAAAAGACACCGGAGAAGGGATCGTCTCGCACGAACGGCGATATCAACGATGAGAAACACAAGCTGTCGTCCGATAGAACTGTCACTCAAAACACGGCGGCGTTTTCCCGCGAAAAGACAGCGAAAGACAGACTCGGTTCTAACTTCAGAGAGCGGACAGACAGAGCGCCCGACCCTCCAGAGCGGGATTTCTCCAAAGTCTTGAGAAAGACCACATCGTCTTCAGCAGTGAAGGAAGAAGTAGAAACGTCTAAGAAATACAGAACCCACACAAACGCCGTGAACGGCGTCTCAGATGAGAAAAAACATTCCGAGACGAGTTCGGTCTCAAGGTCAAAAGTTCTGACAGAAAAGTTCGCGGACGAACCTGCTCCGGATGTGACGCAGGACGGAGAAAAAATGGCGGGAAATGAGGAAACGTCAGAAACCGGAAACGGAAGGAGCTCGAGCCTGACGGAAGAAGTGATTTTTGTAGAGGAGGTCGTGACGTCAGAGGAAGAGAGCGTTCCACAGACGACGCAGAGGTCAAACAGAGTTCAACCTGACGTCCAGGTAAACAGAGCGTTGCGTGACGTCACTGATGACGTCCAGGTGAGCCGAACGTCGCGTGACGTCACTGATGACCTCAAGGTGAGCAGAACGTCTCGTGACGTCACTGATGACGTCCAGGTGAGCCGAACGTCGAGGCGGCGACGCTTGGGACGTCATGACGCACCCGACGTCAACTCGTACGAGCTGCACATCAGCGAGAATGGAACGCCGGAGGGAGACCTGAGGTCAACGACCGAGCGTACTGACGTCACTGAAACATCGGAACGAGACCTAACGTCAACAAACGACAGGACGGAAATAAGAAAGACCGCAGAAAGAGAGACGCCGACGCCAGCGCCGCGCCGGCACAGGGGCACCTCCCGCAAGGACGACGTTGCGACGTCAGTACGCACTGACGTCACTAACGGCGTGGACGTCCAGGAATCGGCTCAGCCCAAGCCGCCAACGCGAGCTCGGACAAAAATGGACGTCAATAAAAACGGTCTGAACGGAACTTCAACCTCAACGCAGCGTCAAACTGACGTGAACCCCGAGAAAGACGCCGACGCAGAGACGTCAGCAAAAACTGTTGATACTGACGGTCTTGGCGTCAACTCAGAAAACTTCATTCAGACCAAACCACCCACGGGTCGGACCAAAATGGACGGATACGTCAGAAAAACCGGCCTGAACGTAACGTCGACGTCAACGCAGCGTCAAAGTGACGTCATTTCCGACACAGCAAGTACTGATGGTATCGACGTCAACTCAGAAAACTTGATCCAGAACAAAACGGAGACGCAGCGTCAACGCAACGGAGACGTTGGCGTAACCCTTGATAAAAGTAACGAAAACGGAGCGCCGAAGCGACATGGACGCAGAACGGTCGCGGAATCAGACGGCACAGAAAAAAGTGCCACCGAGAACGGAGTGACGTCCGCGCGACGTCAGAGCAAGATTGCGGACGTCGACGTCAAGAACGCGGACGAGAACGAAATAGCAACGCGACAACCTAGCAGGATAACAGACGTAGACGTCGAAAACGGAGAGCTGACGCGGCGTCAAAGTAAGACGACAGACGTCGACGTTGAGAAAACCGATGAAAACACAGAGCCGACACGACTTCGTAGCAGAGTAGCCGACGCCGACGTCGGGAAGACCGACGTAAAAGACGCTCTGGTGCAACCTGGCAGCAAAGTATCGGGCACTGACGTCGAGAAAACTGACGTAAACGGAGTGACGTCCACGCGACGTAGCAGCAGAATTACGAACGTCGACGCAGAGAAACCCGACGTTAACATGGAGCCGACACGACGTCGCAGCAAAGTAGCCGACGTTGCCGACGCTGACGTAAACGACGCTCCTACGCGACGTCGTAGCAGAGTAGCCGACGTCGACGCAGAAAAAACCGACGAAAACGAAGTGACCTCCACGCGACGTCGCAGTAGAGTAGCCGACGTCGCCGACGCTGACGCAAACGACGCTCCGACGCGACGACGCAGCCGGATCGCGGCGGAGATCGAGGACGTGGACGCCGAGCTGGCGCGGCCGCGGTACCGACGTCGGGACCGCGACGCCACCGACGCCGATTTAGACGCGCCGACGTCGCGACGTCGGAGCCGTAACGGCGGTGACGTGATGACGTCAGCACGCGGCAGGAGCACGCTGCTGCTTCCCGAAGACGGGACGCTGGAGCTGAACTCGGCCGCGTACGGGAAGGTGTGTTTGTTTGTTTGTTTATTTATTTATTCAGGATCTTCATTGGTGTGAATTTCACACTATTCTTCTGGCAGGCTCTCCAGCATTCTTGGACACATAATACATGTATTCAATTTTAACACCCTTTCTGACAAACTTTTAGTTTTTCTCCGTAGCTTGCTCTGTAAAATGCAGTACCTTTATTAGTTTGAATTTCACACTATTCTTCTGGTAAGCTCTCTAGCATATAACTATTGGACACGGAGTTAATTTCAACACCCTTTCTGATAATGCTAAACAACTTTTAGTTCTTCTCGTAGTCTGCTCTGTTCGTTTTGTAAAATACAATACCTTTATTTTTCATCGTAAAAATGGCTGAATATAGAATATACTAGTAAGTTGTGCCTAACTTGAGTTGTATCCTTCATATGTATTCATTGCTGAGTAAAGAAGCTCTTTTTACAGAGTCACCGAAACGTCGGCTGTGAATAAAACACTTGGTTCTGCAAGAACGAGTCTCTCCAAGCCAAGGTTGTGGGGGAATGATCGTTACCTTTTTATATATGGCCGTTTTTTTGTCGCTACCCCCACCACCCGTCGATGGCTGGCGACCTTCTCTGGCCAATGGATACTGCCTGGCCAATTTCATACTGTCTTTTTGCCACCGAGAGGGATCTGCTTGGAGATTATAAGAATGAGTTTCTTCACTCTGTATTCATTACTGTTTTTTTTTAAACAAAAACAGGTGTCGACGCTTCAGTGGGGTTTCCGCGCGCCCGGCTACGCCGACAGGCTGGACAGGAGGCGGCCTCTGGAGAAGATGAACGGGGATGAGATGGCACTCAGGTAGGGATTTGTTTGTTTGTTTGTTTGTTTGTTTGTTATATTCGTGGGGTCACCAGAGAAAAACGGGAAAAGAGAGTATTCGTCACATTAGTCGTAGTACGCCGCACGATTGTGATGTCAGACTGACAGAACCAACTGCGGACAAGGATATACTAACGTCCTTTAGTGCGCAACAATACCAAGAAATCTACGGTCTTCCATTCAACCTTGGAGATTATAAGCCTGACCATGCCATTTGTTTACCTGGCATACCTATGCATATGTATGCTAACTACATACCAAGGCAGTATTACCGTGGAGTAGGTCTGTGTGGGAGAATGACACGCACACACACTGGCGGAAACTCTGTATGATCTAGTGTAATGATCGTACTTCCCACCGAAACGCTGTTCACACCGGAAGTGTGACAAACCGTGTAGGTATGTAACCTGTGATTACCTGGCGCACAGGTACGCCCAGGTGAGACCTCAGGTACGCCCAGGTATTTAGAATGTTCTATTGTTTCACACTGCCGCAAGCGACAAACTGTTGTCAATATGATAGATCAAAGTTCACCATGTACGTTAGTTCAGTGCCGTGTTACATTCGCCTAGACCAGAAGGTTATGCTTTTGGTAGCGGCGATATGTGTATCTGTAAGACACCAGCTTCGCAGGCACGCGGCGCGGAGGCAGCTTGCTATGTCACACCGAACGACTTGTTACACTCAATCTTTGCACAATTAGGAATTGTTGAAAGCTCTCTTGTAGTGATACCCCAACTGTGCTTGGTGGCAACGAGTTCCACTCTACGATAGTTCTTGGAAAATACGAGTATATATGTGTGTGTTTGTGTGTGTGTGTTTGTGTGTGTGTGTGTGTGTGTGTGTGTGTGTGTGTGTGTGTATGTGCATGTATGTGTGTGTGTGTGTGTGTGTGTGTGTGTGTGTGTGTGTGTGTGTGCTATGTGTGTGTGTGTGTGTGTATGTATGTGTATGTCTGTCACGTATACATATGCAGCGTTTGTGCTAGGCTGCAGCCCAATTAATACAGATAAATAGACAGAATGATCCCTGCAATGCCAATGTGCCTTGAAACTAATTTTAGCTATGAATTGGTTGCTTTGTTTTATTCATTGATCGGTTGTTTGCTCTACAAAAGAGCTTCAACAACAAAACGTCCTTTGATATACAAATGTCCACGTTGCAGCGAAACAGACGTGTGTTTGCGTTAATAATTGGTGTGAGTCAAACGCCGGTAATTATGTATTAACTGGATTATTATCGGTCATGACAACAGAGTAAATACAGCATCAAACGTGACAAAATTCCCAGAGATTTCCCACAGTGATTTTCTCACATTGCCGCCCCTTCATTTATCTATTTTGATCTAGATATATCTGTTTTACTTCTACTTAACGTAAGATTTTATGCTCTGAGGAAGGTGTCTAATAGACATTGAAACGTAAGAAAGTTGAAAAGAATATCTGGTTGTGTATAAGAAACTCCCAATATGCTAAGTCACACCATGGAGGTAGAAGAATCATACTTAAGTTATCTTAAAGGTTGGTTTGGGTTAGAAGCTTCTAATTAGGTATTAAGTGGATTATGCCGACCTTGACTACAGAGTAAATACAACATCAAACGTGCAAAAGTTCCCACGATTTCCGACTGTGATGTTCACACACGCAGTTTGTAGTCTTTAGGCGAAGTTACTAGAGTTAGGTCGTTGCTTATTCAAAGCTTAGGCTTTGCATGATAGAAAGTCTCCAAAACTGTAAAGATAACAACACGTTTCCATGCGTTTTACTTCCCTGGTCCTTTACGCTAGAGGCTACTGACCACTGATCGACCTAATTAATCCATTTCTTAGATGAAGAACGATTTTTCACGTTTTTTGTGTGTTTTCTTTTTAAGGGTCGCAAAAATCCAATTTTGATCATTTTGACGATCGCCATCTAGAGTGTTTTCTTAATAAACTTTTGTCGTTGGCAGTTTTTGCAGTAGATCGCACGACAGTCCTACAACCATGAGACGACAATGGTTGTGCCTGTAGGGCCTGTCTCCAGCCTATCTAAGTCCGCCATCTTCTGTCCACAATCTTTCCCCCGATCTGTGGGAGAAAAGTGTAGGTGGAAAGCCCATGTCGGACCGGTTTGGGGATAACTGCGGATTGTGTGGAAAGGTCTCTATGTGTAGAAGAACTCAGCCTTTTGTGAGAAGGATTTAACTCTGTCCCTACGCTAAAAAACGGACACACCATGTGTTTGACCTTCTCTAACCTTCCGGCCGACCTCACAGCGACTGGAATTGGAATTGTGTGATCCTTGATTTTATAATTGGTATAATATGATGCATAAGAAACACCGAAACGTTTTTAAAAAGTTCTTTATCTATAAAATTGGTTAAGAGGTCTGTCTTACTCTATGCTCAGAATTCGGTGCTCAGAATTCGCAGCTTCTAGTGTAAAGGTGTTTAGGATTGATCGAAGATTTGTGTAGTCTCTTCTTGCATGTATCTGAACAAAGCTAGGTCCTTCTCTTTAATATCATGAATCTCTGAGGGAATTTTAAACTGGATTCCAACCTGAATTCGTAGATCTTTTTAGATTCTCGCACCGGATTTGCGGACAATAGATCAGCACTAGATCGTTGATAAGGTACATTTCAGGCGCTTATTTCGGGAGGGGCTCTAAGCTAGAAAAGCTGCTGGTATGGCAAAGTTAAGTCTGATTCAGGGCGGTTCCTCTGAAGTGTACAAAAAACCTTTGTCAGTTTGTGTGTGGGTTGATCATACAGCTCACAAGTATAGCCGGAAAGTGGATGAAAAGATTCGTAAAAGTCACCGTTGAAAGCTGAAGATTGGTGTAATAACTTGTAATATCGTTGTGTGGGTTCTAGTGCAGAAATCCGAGTCAAGTCTTGATTGATCATGATTGTGTTCAGGTATTTGTAGTTGGGTTCGGATAAAGGGTGGGGGAGGATAGAAGGTCTGGAGTAAAGGGTAGGAATTTGAGGTAACCTTCGGAAAATGGGCAGCAAAAGTCTCGCTTGTATCAGCGCGAAATCTGAAAATCGTTGTGTAGGAGGGTTCGTAGGGTAAAGTTTATTTGAGTCAGAAGTCGCAATTGTGATCAGGTATTTATTTGCAAAGCTGGTAGTCTTAGATTCGTCCTTGGTGTTGACAGCAGTTTGGTTAAGGTAAATATTGGGAAATACAAAGGTTTTGTGGCAAAGGGGACGTTTTAAATAACTTTTGTCATGTTTGTATATTTCGCGAGTGTTTGTAGGCCAGGCGATGGCGTTTTGCTGAAGTTGCTGATTTGACTGACAGCAGACGACGGTCTTAAATAAACGCAACCCTCTCGTGTTTTCAGAAAGAATTTGATACATTTTTCTGCGTGCGAAACTGCCACGTCCTGACTAATTAGACCAAAGAGGTTATATTTTCCCGGCCTCGGTAACCTCTGCTGACTGTGGTTAGTTTTTTGGTCTAGTGTTAGACTAGAAACGAAAAGAACACTGTCAAGAATTGCGGGCATTTTTGACACCGAAAGACGGCCGCCACATGTAAGATATCATCAGGCAGGCGGCATTTTAAACCTGTTTGCCCTTCTTTGTGTCTGTGAAAGTGTTACGTACTGCCCGATTAGAACATGGAGGTTATATTTTTCCGGCCTCAATAACCTCCTTGGTGAGTGCAGAAAATTTGATACTGTCTTTTGCCACCCTTGGATCTGCTTGGAGCTCCCGGAGATTAGGCAATTTTGACACCGAAAGACGGCCGAGCGCCACATGTAGTATATCACCAGCGCGGCGGCATGTTAAACCCGCTCGGCCTTTTTCCTGTCCTTGTTTCTAGATCTGTGTGTGAAACTACTGTTACGTTCTGCCCAATTAGAACAAGGAGGTTATATTCTCCCGACCTCTACAACCTCCTTGGTTAGTCCGGAAAAGAAAACATTTTGGGAAACGACGACCACATGTAGTACATCATCAGGCAGGCGGCATGTTAAACCCGCTCGGTCTTGTTTGTGTGTTCCCGCGTGTTTGTGCGGGATTAGCGGACGTGCCGCAAACTTCTGGCGGGATGGAAGCATTTCTGGGCTGGAGTGATGAAGCCAAGCTGGCCGGACTCTGCACACATAGTCTGGACTACATGTAGTAATAATCTCCAACCTACAAATGTATTGATCTTTAAACTGTGGTCGCTATTTGTATGTCGTGCCAAAGTTATAGCCTCTACCAGGCTTCGGGAGGCGGCTGGAAAGAGTAGAAATCGGCCAAATATAGAGAGATGGCCGGGGGAGTTGGTCTGCTGGAGAGAACAGTTTGCTGCTCTGGAAGCCTGGTAGAGGCTACCAAAGTTATACAAATGCAAGGAATATGGATTTGAGTTTGTAAAAGAGCATACTAGTAGAAACAAGACATTAGGACCACCTGCGAAGCGTGCCGTGTGCAGACAGGGGTTACCCAAGGTCGAGATAGTTCACATTTCTGTCGTGAGGAGAAGTCGGGAGGGAGTCTGGCTTGTCTCAGCCCGACGTGTGACCGACAGTTGGGGACGGTCGGGAACACATCGGGGCTTGTTTGTTTGTCGTGGGAGCGTCGGTAGGTCAGGCTAGGGCGTTTTAAAAACGTTTGCAACTTTTGTAAGAACGAGAAGAATATCGCTATTTCACCAACGTATCGCTATTATATTACTATGTGAATGTGTGTGCGCGCGCGTGTGTGGATAGTGTTCAGCACCAAGGACAGGAGCATTTATGAGTGTGTGTGTGTGTGTTCCGCCCTTTGAGGAGGTGAAGTCTGCCATCTCTGGTTGAGTTGTTTCTACCAATTTTTCTTGTTTCTACTAATATGTTCTCATCGTCCAGGAGGCCCGTTGTCTGAACTCGGTTGACCTTCACGGTATTTGTTGATGAGGTATTTAAAAGTGCCTCTTGGGTCAGAGGTCAGCCCAACACGCGGACCTGCATACCGCAATGGTGTTACCTCGCTAGCAGCCTCCTGATACATGTAGGTGTCTTTGGTTATACTATATCAAGGGGGGGGTGTGTGTGTAAAAATCTTGCATTTAACTTCCTTGACTACAGGAAGCTCTTCCGTTTTTTCTTCCTTTCCAAGCCGATCCTTCGGTAGGACAATCGTAACCAACCGCTTCGTGGCATTTTCGTGAGAGTAAACTGAAGACCACACAGAGGTTGTCCAAACGTCGGCAAAGATATTATGGTTGTGAAACCAAGAAAAACTTACTTCACCATTTACAGACTACTCTTGAGGTCGATCAAGCAGAGACTTCGAATTATTTTCGACGTGCTTTTATTTTTTTCATGCGCGATTTTTTTAGCACTGCCAAGCTGATACTTTCTTGTAACCAGCAAAAAAACTGCTTGTAGATTATTTACGTACCCAGTTGAGCCTGTTCCCCAGGCTAACGGCACAGATCGTGAGAACATGCCGGCGGGCCCTGGGGCGGTTCCGGGCCGGCATTGTGCGGGGGTAAGCACCGGGAAGGCAGCTGGGCGGACCGGGGGATTAACTCCGATAACTTACCGTCAAACCAACTCAAAAATAGATCCCATGTTAGTTAAAGTTGGTGCCGCTTCAGCGGCGCGTCAAAACGTGTTATTTTTCGACCGTTTCTCCGAGTTTATATATAATTCTAGCTCCCTGTTTATTGCGTGTTTTGAAATAAAACTATCACAGTATGATAGGCTTTGGTAGCACAATCCCATTAATTACGGACAACAACGGTGAGTTCTGATGCATCATGCAACTATACTCTCCAAGCAGAGGTTTAAGACTCGGCTTAATTTTGACGTCTTTTTAAGGTGTTTTTATGGGGCTTCGTTTTTTTTACCGGTATCTTTCTTTTCGCCAGCCAAATCAAACGGTGGCTTACTGTAAACTGCCCTGCCAATTTCATAATACTGCTTTGTCAATTTGATACTGTTTTGCCAATTTTATACTGTCTTGTAGCCAACAAAATATCTTTTTGGAGATTATCAAAATTGTGGGGTGAATGTTACCGGCCATATTAAAGACAGGAATAACCGCGGGAATGTGACTGTTACACGTACTACACTGTAGTCTACAGAATAACCTGTTTCTAAGAAGCCGCCTTAAACCATGAAATAATACCCCTGGCACGCTTAAACCTACAGGATATGTCTTACACGGCTAATTACTGAGATTATCCTCCAAAGCAGATGTTTTTATCCATCCGTAAGTCCTGTTGTGGTTTCCTGTTTGATTAGTTATCAAAACTTAGGAAGAACAACTTGAAATCTGATCTCCAGTGGTGGTTAGTTATCAAAACTTTGTAACCTGATCCCCATTGCTGAGGATGTTTTGGAGGTCACGCATGAATTGCCCTTGAGATGACCTTGAGCAGCAGGACAGGTGACAGGTGTGTTTAAGGAGGAATGTCAGCCCAAGTTCCCAGACAAGATACAGTTTCTGATAAACTCTGACTGGAGAATTCTTTACCTGTGAGACAATTTCTGCTGGAAACGTCACCAAATAGTTGTATGACTGGTCAACGGTAAAATCAGCCCAAGGTTTGTACATGTATTTGGACTGGCAAAACCCAAGGTCAAGAAGGACAGAGACAGGAATGAAGATACATGAAGAGTTGACTTAATTTCTGGGCCCCTAGGGGCTTTGTATGGTATTGCAGCAGAAATTTTTGTTCTGAACCATGCTTTGGATCCACAATAGTATTTTTATTGGATACATGTTGGAAGATACATTTTGGAAACAAAATGCCAACACAAGTATGGTTGACTGGATTTCCAACACTTTTACCTAGTACTTGACTAATGTTCTACATGTAGTTGATTACACACATATTATTGAAATTATAATCTAAAAGTAAAACCTTTTTCTTCTCCTTCTTGTTGCAGAGGAGCTTTGCTGTCCGGAGATGTGGAGAAGGTCAAGGTCATGGTGTCAACATGGCCGCACAAAGTTCTGGACTTCCGGAACGTCTACGGCCAATCAGGAATCAGCACAATTCAAAACGGTCACCTGACCAAGGAGGACCAATCAGAGGAGGAGGTTCCGGTTTTCCCGAAGCGACCAATCGAGTACAGCAACCCAGCGGTGTCCTGGTCACGTGACCTGACGAAGGCTGTAGTGGAGGGACTGACGGAGAAAAGCAACTCGGAGTTCCAGGCTGTCTGTATGCAGAACGTTCTGCCAGGTAAGGCCTAGGAAAAAAAGTTGTGTTTCCTGTTTCCCAACTGACCCTAGAAAAAACTGCCAACTCTTGCCTTTTTCTTGTGGATCCCTGCAAGGGACATAAAATTTTTTTGAGCTGATCAACCTTTTCTAGCTCCATGATCTGACACCTGAGTGATAAAACGTTGTACAATCAGTTTTCCAACATTGACATCAAAAATTTAAGTGTCCTCATGCAAGTTTTACTTTATTAAACTCTATTGTATAAGTTGAATCAGAAGAGTAACTATGAGTCCTGGGCCATCTGTATGTAGAACATTCTGCCAGGTAAGGGATAAAACTGGAGACATTTTTCTTAAAGAAATACAGGATTGCCTAGCCTGGGTGCCATCCGAATTTGTAACGGCTCCCCCGATTTTTTCGGCTCCTAACGGCTCCCCCGATTTTTTCGGGGGAGCCGTTACAAATTCGGATGGCACCCAGGCTAAGGATTGCCCACAAAGTAGATTCTTTCTTTCTTTTTATATAGCAAGACGTAATTTTATGCTTATTCCTCTAGCAGCTTCCTAAAAAACTACGGCTTGTGTTCAGGATATGGCATCGATTCCTTTTCTTTCTTTCTTTTGACATCCAGACAAGGACATGACGAATGATTTCGCCACGGCTGCCCTGGAGGCTGACAGACAGGACTGCAAGATGGAAGGTCAGTCATAACAACACATTTTTCCTTACACTTCTGCAGTATTGAAGCGCCACCTGGTGTTGAACCAGATAACTGCAGGAATGTCATAGAAGCTCTACATGTACATGTTAGAGAATAGTTAAACCTAAATAGCTTAAAAATTGTTGTCGCATAGATATATTCTGTACGAAGGATGACGTTATCCACACATGTATTTAGCTGTGTTATTAGATCTTTAGTTGTAGAAGATCATACAAAAGTCCCTGTACTTTTTTGTTGTGTCAATAAAGAATCTGTGTTCTGCACATTTTTGCTTCTGCAGTGTTGAAGCGCCATCTAGTGTCAAACCTGATAACTACAGGAATGTCTAGTGTTTTACATGTGCCCTTGACTTGTGCCAGAACTTAATTGTGGCTGAGCTGGGGCTAAAGTAACAAACAAACAAAGAAACAAACAAAGAAACAAACAAACAAACAAACAAACACCCTATCATGAAAATTCATCTGTGTTGGTAGTTACATGCTTGAAGTTAAAACTTTCAATCCAACACAATCACACTTTAAAGAAGCCACGTGACAATTTAAGCTTCACTGGGTCAGTCTACTGAGGAAGACCAGAGTGACTAGTAGAAAGCTCTTGGTGAGAGAACTTCTTTGTGTTGGATCGAAAGTTTTAACTTTAAACAAACAAACATCCTTGTTCCCCCCCCAGGCACCCTGGACGTCTACCTGAACGTGTGGCTAAAGTGGGGTTACAGTAACAGTGAGAAGTTAGCGAAGGCCCTAGCGGCCGGCCTGGGAACTGCAGCACGTATGCGGCTCCACGCCAGCTCAGCTGTGGTGCATCGGGCGCATCGCTGCTACAAGTTTGTGGGAGAACTCATCAACACACTGGATCCTGAGGTGAGATCTGGATGTGATGCCCCGTGAGATTCTTGTCCAGTATACTCTGGACAACTATCTCTCTCTCTCTTTCTCTCTTTGCCTCTCTCTGTCTGTCTCCCTCCCTCCCTCTCTCTCTGTCTCTCTCTCTCTCCCCCTCTCTCTATCTCATCAACACACTAGACCCAGAGGTGAGCTTTTACTTCGACTTAAGGGAGTGAACAATTATATCTCTCTCTCTAGCTATTGTTTTTCCTTGTATTATCACTCTCTTTCTCTCTCTCTGTATATGGAAATAATGTACCTCTTTTGCAGAAGTAGTATCCAAGTTCTAACTCAAGGATGTGAACTTTTATTTTTGGCTTCTGTCTCTCTGCCTCTTTCATTTTTAGTCCCTCTCTTTTGCTCAATATATCTAAAGCATTGTCTCTGTGCTGTACACTGGAGAGCTTCTCAACTTACTCAAGCCAGAGGTAACTATACCAGTTCTATCTCTTTCTCTCTCTCTACATTTAAAAAACTGACATATATTTAGAACAATATATTATGATAAAAGATGCCTGTTTTTCCACCTAACCTGTATCACATCTTTCGCCACTCAGGTGACAACAGGATTCGAAGTGTATGAGAACGAGGCTGACCTTGAGGAGAAGTTCAAGGACATTGTGAAGCTAAAGAACTTGACCTCGCTGACCTTGGCAGGATGTCTTCCTGAGGGGACGTCTCCAGAATATCTACAGGTGGGTTAGCTATGCCCCCTAGTGTGCACGTTGGAAACTGCAGCCCAATTCAATGGACTTTTCTTTCACAGTCCTGACAAAAGTAAAAATTTAAATTCCCTTTTATAGGACACTCACATTACACAGACACAAAAAAAAGAGATTTTTTCTTCAGGATTCTAGCCTGCACCAAAGTTCCCATAATTCCTCTTTATTCCCTGTTTATAGTTAAAATTTTTGGTCCAACACAAAAAATTCTCTCACCTAGAGCTTTCGACCAGTCACTCTGGTCTTCCTCAGTAGACTGACCCAGTGAGGCTTGTCACGTGGCTTCTTTGAAGTGTGACAACACTGGGTCATCTGGTAGACGATGTCTTTACTATTTTATTCCTGTTTTCGCCATGCAGACTCTGGTTTCCTCCATGCCAAACCTTCGTCGGTTGGACGTGCGGAGAAACCCTCTGACGGGCTGGTTCGCTGAACTTCTGGGGACAGCCTCACCCCTGCAGTACCTCAACATCTCACAGTGTGGCGTTAGTCAGGTAACCTATCCATCAATGAGGGTCTGCATGGGGGGTCCTGGCAACGGTTAACGGTAAATTCGGCAGGGCCGATAACGCTTAACGGTAAATTCAGGACGGTCGGCAACGCTTAACGGTAAATTGACAGGATTTTTTTTCGAGCTGCACTGGATTTTGTATCTGGCTTTGTGAGAAAAGTTGATCATTGACAAAATTACGTATACCTTACATGTAATGAAGCACGCATTAAAGGTATGTGTTGCCTGTGTTTCCCACCTGCCCTGGTCTCCGAGTGCGTCCACAAATAAAGGGGAGTCCGAGTCGACGTTGGCCAGGGCTCTACCCAGCTTGACTTTTTACCGCGCGCCCAGTTTTACCGATGGATTTTGAGCGGGGAGCGCCGAAGGCGCTCGCAATCTAGGGGGTCCGGGGGGATGCTCCCCCGGGAAATTTAGAATTTTTAAGCCTTCAAAAACGCAATTTCCCGCATTTTGAGAGGCAAATCATGGTGTTGAGAGTGTTTGTCGGTCCTTCTGATGTTTTCATATTTTTACTCAAGATTTTGTTCATTTTGCATGTCAAGGTTGACGGATTCGTTAAAAAAAACTGTAACTCTTCTGCAATTACCGCAAACTTCTGGTAATTGACGGAAAGCTGGTGCTGGCTAGAGCCGAAGGGACCGAGCGCAGAAGCGCGAGTCGAGCGCCAAAGGCGCGAGCAATGTAGGGGGGCCGGGGGCATTCTCCCCCGCGAAATTTTGTATTTTGAAACCTTCAATGACGCATTTTCCGGCACTTTGAAAGGCAAAATTAGGCGTAACGAAGAATTACTCATTGACGCTTAACGCTGAATTTAGGATGACAAATAACGTTTTACGTTGAATTAAAACGACCAATAACGCTTCACGATGAATATACTGATAACGCTTAACGTTGAATTAGAGCAGGCCGGCAACGATTAACGGTAAATTAAAATAGCCAATAACGGTTAACGAAAAAGGGCATGCAGACCCTCATCAATAGACCATAAAATTATTTAAGATAAAAGTTCTGCCATCAGACCATGATGTACCAAAGAGGTTTATAATCTTTCAGCTTATTTATATGCTAACCCTTGCAGAAGGAAAGCATATTGTTTTTGCTCAGTTTCTTCCTCCTCTTCTTCTCAAAACAAATAAGGTCAATGGCCTGAAGCAGACGCCTGTCACCATGGTAACTGGTGCTGTAGCAGACAACCCTGTGGTGTTGGGTTACATTATGTAGCAGAACAAAGTTACACATGAGAGGCTTTTACATCTTTTTAGGCATTTTTTTGGGCATTGTTAGTGAACAGTTTTTTTTTCTGACTGTTGTTTTGTGTTGCAGATTGACCTGTATTTCCTGACTCTGATAATACAGTTAGGGAGCTTTTTCTAACTATAATTGTTTTCTGCAGATTGACCTGTACTTCCTGGCGAACTCGCACCACATCGGTCAGCTGGAGGAGCTGGACCTGTCCGGGACGGACCTGACGGGACTCATGGAGGACACCACACAGCTGCTGCTGCAGGCAAGTAACACTCATGTGCATGTGCACCACACACACGCACACACGTGCACATATGTACGCGCACTCACACACACAGACACACACACACACACACACACACACACACATGGACCTGTCCGGGACAGACCTGACGGGACTCATGGAGGACACAACACAGCTGCTGCTGCAGGTAACTAACATTCATGCACACACGTGCCGCACGTACACACACACAGGCGCACATGCAGAACACGACATACACACACATGCACACACACATGCACACACACAGCTGAACTCATGGAGGACACAACACAGCTGCTACTGCAGGCAAGTTTTATTGAACACACGTGTGCATGCACATACATACACACAGGCTAGTCTGCAGTCATTACATGTGCGATATGCCTGAAATACACACATGTACATCACTTACTACAAGCAAAGAGCCAATCCAGTCAATGAAGCCTTACTCTTACAGTGGATATTGGTACTCAGACTACAACAGGACTTAGATGTACAATGCATAATTTATACATTTCTCTGACTCCCCGCTGCAGGCGTCCCGTAACCTGAAGTGGCTGGGCATGGCGGAGTGTAACCTTGGCGACCACGCGGCCACCATCTTGGATCTTCTGGAGAAATTACGTTATTTGGAAGAGTGGGACCTGAACGACAATGGGTTTAGCGAGGGGGACGTGTGCAAAATCGTGGAGGCGTGTGCAAAAGCGCCCGGGTTCCGCTTCCTCAAGGTCACGCCCCCCGACACCGTGAACTCCGCCGACCCCAAGGAGGGGTCAAAAGAGGTCAGGCGGTTTGATGGACTGGTTAAAGCGGCGCTGCGGAGGGCATGTCCCGATGAGGACCGCAAGATGAGATGTCTGGTGACCTACAAACTGCCCGAGTACAAGGACGAACCACCGACCTTGATATGAACTATGACCCCTTGGTATGAACTATGACCCAATGGTATGAACTATGACCCAATGGTATGAACTATGACCCAATGGTATGAAATAGGACCCTGATATGAACTATGACCCCCTGATATGAACTATGACGCCCCAGATGAACTATGACCCCTGGTATGAACCATGACCACCTGATATGAACTATGATACTATATGGATATTCTGTTGTTTTGATATTTGGATATGGTGTCTGATATTTGGATATGTTAATTGATATTTCGATATGTTAATTGATATTTGGATATGTTTATTGTCCGATATTTTGATATCATTTCGGACATTTATAAAGGATTAGTTAAAATTGTCTAGAAAAAAATTGGCAAATCCATCTAAACTAAAAGCTACTAAATGGGTGATACAGAAGTTTGAAATGTTTAACGTTCTTGTTATGAAGTTTGTTAAAAAAAAGCCATGGTGACGTTTTAGATGCAGATGTGTCCCTACATCTGAAATGTACGTCGCAACAGATATCCAGTATATGTGCAAACTGTTCTCTGTATTCATCTCTGTATATTCTCTGTATGTATCTTTAAAAGTTTTTGTTCTCTGAGTTATAACTTGTTGTTCAGTAGGTTTTAGCTAGCTTTGTAGCTGTTACTGATTACCTTTATGCTAAGGTTAGTACTGTGGTTAAAATTCTGTGATATCTGACTGTACAGATGGTGGGATTATATAAATGATAAGTAAAGCGCTAACCAACAAACTTTCCTTAGATCAGTCCTCTGGTTCTTCCAAAGTTTTAATAACTTTCTAATATCTACAGTCTGCTTTGCATACTATGAAGCTATCCAGAGTTGATCGTGTAAAAGAAAAAAGCACTTCGAGCTTTCTGTGTAAACATATTTTTATACAGTGCTTCTCGATACCCAATGATCGAACATTTGTATTGCCAAATATTTCCAAGATATCATAGAAGATTTATTCCAGTTGGTACAAGTTGATAAACTTTTTTGTGTTCCAAATGTACAATAAAGTCTTTCCAGTGTGCTGCATTTCATTGTGGTGGTGTTGATTTGAATTTCTTTGCATTTATTTATTTATTCACAAGCTTCCAAACATAAAAGATTAGGAGACACCGATGAATTTTGAACAGTTTGTTACAACATTGCATGCAATAGACAGTAGGTTCATTTGGCCAGGTACAATGTAGGAAGATAAAAAAGATAAAGACAGTGACATACAATAATGCACAACATACAATAGTATACATGTATGAGTATGCTTTTCACACACGCACGCACGCACACACACACACACACAAACTAGTATACATTGATGAAAGAAAGCCCAAACCGCCACAAAACAGGTTTGCTTATAATCTGCAGTACCAAAATTGGCCACCAGGGGCGCACTTTACTTTTCTCTAAGGCAAGGCAATAGAAAAACGTGGTGAGATTTCAATACTGAGCATACTGAGGTTACTAGTATTATAGGTTATCAGCAGACAAAAATTCACTTCTGCAGAAACAGTTAAACTTTGCAGAACATCAGTTATTTGTGTTAAATCAAGTCAAAGCAGATCTTTGTGGCCGCAACAACATTATCAAATCCCAGACAGTATCTATTGGCCAGACAGTTACCGTTTGCCATCTGAGTAAAAAAAGACCCCAAAAAAGCTGACTCTGCTGTTATAGCATGTCCAGAACAGGAGATATACAAAACTGCAGTACCTTGGAAAGCCACCAGGGGGCCCAGTTTGTTTTCTCTATCAGTTTTTCATCCTTTAATTTCTTGTTAGTTTGCTTTTCTTCGTGTAGAAAATAGATATTCGTTGATTGTCCATTTTTCGACGGTACACACCCACCATAGTCAATACCGACCCTCTCCAAATATCAACTGAACTGTCCCCAAATCCCAATAGCATTAAATGTATACCCAGTACTTACGTATGACCTTAAATGAGCACGACTCACGACTTAAGAAAATATAGAGAAAAGCCATCCCAGTTATGACGTCATCGCCGGTTGCTATGGCAACGCTAATGTCCCGAAATGTGGCGAAAATCAGTCAGGTGGTTTTTGGTGCGAATCTGCGCCCGAATCGGCTGCTAGCTTCTGTCCCGCGCCGCGTCCTCACTGTATAAGGAAGCAAGTCCAAGGTAGGTGTCGGAATTTCTTATGTTTTCTTCTCTTCTGCGTTTGTTCTTAAGTGTTGAGGTTGCTTGCCACAGTGTTGTGGAGACGTAGCGAGCCTGTTGTAGCGAGGTGTGGCGAGTTGGACTGCTACAGTGTAGCGAGCTGCCCGCCACAGTCGCGACACTAGCTTCACCTGAGGCGAACCGATGACATGGCGGTCGGTTCAGATTTTTTTCCGCCGATCGCATGAAAATTTAAACTGTTGTGTGTTTTTAGGTGGGTGTGCAGGAAGGTAAAATGGCGGGAGGAGGGAATTTAAGGTTTGTAACAATCAGACGGTTTTGTTTTGTAAATGTTTACGTTTTTTGGGGGGAGGGGGCTGAGTACTGAGTAGGTGTGTAGCCTCCGTAGCAGGCTTATAGAACTGGGGGTTTAGGTTAGTTTTGGTGGTCTCCGGCTATTTTCTGATTAAAAAAACGTCGGTGATTCAACCAGGCCGGCTATGTTGTCTATATACAATCAGAAAATAGCACATAAAAGCCCCCAAAGACCATGAAGACCCCCAAACCCCCAGTTTTTGGCATGCTGTAGAGGCTAGGTGTGTGTAGGTGGGGGAGGGCGGGAAACATTATAAAGAACCTGAAACATGAAACCCACGTAAATTCACACCGGTTCGGCCCGCCCACAACTCCATACTACACACCTGAAATCACCTGAGCAAAGGTACCGGCAGGTGAGGCACCTGTACAGGTAGGTATGTTGCGTTACCTGTACCAAAACCTGCAAAAATCCAGGCTACTAAACCTTTACTAGTTTAGGTGTATAGCCATGTAGAAACCATACCGTACCTTACCTGTGCCCCCCCCATTTACCTTGTTCACAGGTGTGAATAGGCTGTACAGGTGTGTGTTTCGTTTTCTCTTTACCTGTACAGGCAGGTATGAGGCATTACCTGTATCAAAACCTGCAAAAATCCAGGCTAAACCTTTAGTTTAGGTGTGTACCTATGTAGAAACCATACCGTACCTTACCTGTGCCCCCCCCATGTACCATGTACCATGTTACAGGTGAGAATAGGCTGCACAGGTGTTTGTGTTTCGTTCTCTCTACCTGTGGGTACAAATATTTACCTGTACGGTCGTTACCTGTCTCTAAAGGTGATCAAAATTCACTTAAGAAATCGTTAGATGTGTGTGATCATTCTTACATATTCAAATTGCTTTGAGTTTGACATAATAATTAGGCATAGGATTACATAATGTTGTATTTCCTGTTTCCCGACCGACCCTAGAAAAAACTGCTGACCCTAGTCTTTTTTTGGGTGAACCCCTGCAAGGGACATACATTTTTCGAGCTGATCAACCTTTTCTAGCTCCATGATCTGACACCTGAGTGATGAAATGTTGCACAATCAGTTTTCCAATATTGACTTTGCAAATGAAAGTGTCCTCATGCAAGTTTTACTTTGTCAAATTGTGTTGTATCAATTGGATCGAGATAGCCAAAATCTAAAAAAAAAAGAAGTTAATCCTACCTACTGACTAATTTTTTGGGACTGAAACAGGAAACACAACATTTTTTACCTAGGCCTTTTTTCCTGTACAACCATTCTTACCAGCATGTAACCAGGAATGATAACACTTGTTCTGTGACAGGCACTAGTAACAATAAGATTCACCTGTTAAGTGTGTGTGTGTGTGTTCACCTGTTTGTGGGAACAGCACCAACAATGTTTACCTGTACTGTTATTATCTGTCTTCCTGAGGACCCAAAACCCACTTGAGATATTTATTTTTACATAAATTACCACACAATTACTGGTTACGGCAGTAAACATGGTTGTCTGCAACAGGAATTCTCGTAATTGTACACCCAACACATACCTGTTTACTTGCTAGGTACAGATGGGATATAACAAAGTGAGATGTAAAATAGTGCTGCATACCTAAACCCAATTTTAGGTTCAGATCCGGATTCAAGTCCAGAGGTTTAGGTTCAGTTCCGGACTTGTAAGTCTGGACCTAAACCGATGGCATGTACAAAATTGCACGTTGGCAACCTTGCAATCTTGTCTGGGTGAAACTTTGGCCACATAACATGGAGGCCGACACTTGACGATGCCCGATGGCAATGTTTTCTTCATTCTGCAGCAAAGATTTTGCAATCTATGGAAGGTTTTAGGTGGTTTGGAAAGAAAAGGGGTATGTGAAATGGTATTTTATGGTAATAAGTCCAGACTCTGTCTCAGTTCTTGACTTCAAGGTTTTTTTACTTGAACCTTAACATTTTTACAAGTCCGGATCCAAGTCCAGTGAACCGGTATGGAGCAATACATGTACATGCAAGTCATTCCTCTTGTCTATGTACTAGTATGTTTCCTGTTTCGCTGTACCTACAGAAAATTTCTTATTTTACTTCAACTTTCCAAAATCAGGAAAGCAAGTTCTGAAGAAAATACTGTAGTCTAAAGATTCCGTATTACTTCTCGGATATTCCCTTTTGTGTAATAAACAAGTAGTTGAATTGGAGTGGCCTGAAACATTGCGAAAATCTAACGGCAAAATTTGTACTCAGAAAATTGACTTTAATTGAAATTAAAACCAGTTTAAAACCATTAAAACCATCTATGAACCGTGAATAATGACGACAATTTAAATGTAGATTTTGATATGTTAAACATTATAATTGCTGGTTAGAAAACTTCTTGACAGACATTTGAACACGTTTCAGACACGAAGCGCAAACGTGTTCAGTGCTGTAGTACAAAGGTCAATAGTGTGGGGAGGAGGGAGAAAGTTTTTTAAGCTGGGCCCACCAGAAGCTCTTTCCACTTTCCTCATAAAATAAAATTTCCTGTTTTTTTTATGAGATTTTTTTTATGAGGAAATTCTTTGATGAGGAATTTTTTTCATGAGGAAATTTTTTCATGAGAAATTTTTTTATAAGAAAATTTTTTCATGAGGAATTTTTTCATGAGGAAATTTTTTTGAGTAAATTTTTTTATGAGGAAATTTATTCATGAGAAATTTTTTATGAGGAAATTTTTTCACAAGGGAATTTTTTTCATAAGGAAATTTTTTTATGAGGAAATTTTTTTCACAAGGGAATCTTTTTCATGAGGAAATTTTTTTCTGAGGAAATTTACTGTTTGCTGTTATACAGTTTCGCCAGACATGTTTCCTTGGACACTATCAATGGTATAATAATAGGTTCTGTAAAGAGTAACATATTAGACTGTATATAGGTAGATAAAGATAAGTGTTGAGGTCACGGGTACACAATTTGAGATGTTAGCACCTTTTTGGTGGTTGTACTCTGTTGTAGCTGCAACATTTCACATAATAGAGCTAGAAAAGATCGATCAGCTTCAGATATTTATGTCCCTTATAGTGGTCCAGAAAAAAAAGCTAGGGTCGACAGTTTTTTTAGGGTCGGTCAGGAAACCAGAAAATACTTATTTTTCCTAGGCCTGAGGAATAAAGGAGGAATGCAAAGGTTAGTCTGAACATGGAAGAGTGAGTCGCCCTGGGCAAAACTGTCAAACATCGTTTGTTTTTCCAACAACATCGACTTTCAGCTTTCTCACACCAAGACAACACCCTCAGTAAGTTTCCCCTAGGATAATGTCTGTGATCTTTCACCTTTAACCCTCCGTGACCCACGATAGACCAGGCGTTCTGATTGTGTCGGCCTGATGGATCACTCTGCTTCATCTTCCTGTCAGTCATCACCATGGTAACCACACATCACGATGGTAACTGTACAATGGGAGGAGGAACGGAGATTCCTGCCATATTTGTTCTTTTAGCTTCATTGTTGAAGATTGTTGGCTTTAGAACTGTCCATCCGTCTATCCATCAGTCCCATAGAAATGTGTAAGAAATGTCAAACCTATACAGTGACCACTACATACATAATGACCACCTGTTCATTGTGACCAGTTTTTCATAGTCCGGTAGATCTATTTTTCCCATTGACACACAATCTTGTAAGTGACCACCTGCCCACATAAACCAGGTTCAAGATACCCAAAAATTAGCCAGGAAAAATTGAAAGACGGGCTAAACCCGTACATATGCAAAAAAACAAACAACACCAAAACACGTCCAGGTAATGGATCCAGAAAAAACAGTTACTCCAGCAACATGGAAAACGCCAAACTGTTTTTTGAAAACCCAAACCAGCCTGAGCCTCTGTTTTGAGAGTGTGAACTGTGTACTGTGGGCATTTTCCTGAGCAGTGACTACAAACATTTTGCTGCATGCTGTAATGTGTGTTGAGTTGATGGGTTTTTTTGTGGGGCAAGTTTTTATCACCCAACATGCCATTATTCTTGTTTATTACCTCAACATACGGGCTGGAACAATTCACTTCCCTGGTTCGGAAAATTACTGGAGGGGAAGTACAAAAAATGTATGTCATGTATGATATCTTGAATAGGGATTTATAATTCCAGCCTACTAGTATATGAAATTAGGCCTAGGAAAAAAACATGTTGTTTCCAGTTTCCGGACCGACCCTAGAAAGACCTGCCTACCCTAGCCTATTTTTTGGGTGGACCCCTGCACAAAAATTTTTCGTGTACTGTTTTCAACGTATGTCTTCTGTCACTTAGTAAAAATTGTTTCTGAGTCTTTATGTTGTATGTAAGCAATATTGGATCCCATGTGATAAATGGCATACTATAACTCTGTCAATATACTGCATAATTACAGACCAGTCATTAAAAATGCATAGAAAATTCCTCAGTAAAATTGAAGGCCACTCGAATCTAAAACTAGTCTGGAATTATTCTTGGATGTCACACTCACTCCCTGTCCGGTTAATCATCTGTTGTTCCCCGTCTTCCAAGGGTTAGCTTACACAGTACAACTGAGTCTTGATGCCAGCTCGCCACTTGCCTCTGTCCTGTAGGTTGATCTTGTTTATGTGTTCCCAGTATTTTGCCTCCAATTATCTTCTTCAATAATCCATAACATAATATTATCATCGTTAATCTTAATTATCATTGTTAATCTTAAACTCTCAGAGGGTGGGGCAGACTTTTGTGTTCATCAACATTATCTCTGATTTTTCAGTCACTGACGTCACTGATGTCTTACCTGTTTAGATAATAGAATAGTCCAGTGACTAGTGAAACAAAAGGCAAGCTGGGTGATACCACTGTGCAGTGAGGGTGATAAATATTTTTAGGTTGAAAGCAGAAGAATTTGTCCTTACCTGTTTTATTTAATGGACTGACCCAAGTGTTGAGTGGAGGCTGATACCACTTTATGTTGACAGGGGGTGAGCAGGTTGATTCTGTCCTGAAGTTGACACAAAATTTTCTGGGTTAGAAAAACAGGTTTTGAAAAAGAGAAGGGATAAAAGTGATCAGGTAGATATAAAGGCTGGATAAACATGCCATTCTGGTTACCTGTCCTTACCTGTACAGGTAGGACAACAGGTAAGAATGAATGTCATACCTGGCCATTGTTGTACCTGGCCTGATCTAGAGTTGATAGTAGCATTCTTCTTTTCCTACAATGTGCTAACATAAACAATAGTCTGGGTTGTGACATTACAATTATAACACTCCTGGCTAAAATTCACTCAATTGCATATCAATCAATAGTTCATGCTTATGTTATAAACCTGCTTTTCTAACAATTGACGAAAGGTATTGGATGCTACCTGAAACGTCTAACCGTTTCCAAAATCATATCCAGTTGCTTGAGTAACTGTTTTTTGGTGTACTAATGTTCCTATTTGTGTATTTAACTTTTAGGAGATCTTTTCTATAAGCATCCAGCGTTTTGCAGTCAATCCTCGATAAATAAATGAGGTCAGGAGACTCAGAAACACATTTTAGTCCACTTAAAAAACCTCCAGCACCAAAACACTGTGTTCATCGCTGGTTAAATGGAAGCGAGCAGAAAAAATCAATCAGATCAATAATTACTGCTCCCATCCAGGACTGGGCTGTGAGGAGACATGAAAACCCTTCATTAACCTCAAAAAGATTTACGGCAGGGTTGGGTTATAAAAAAAAGGAAAACTGGACCAAATTGTTTTGCGAAGTTATCAGATATACTACCTTTACAAATAGATTATTATTATATAGTTATTTAAGTTATTTTGTATCTTTGTTTCCTTGTTTGTTTTTTGTCAATGTGTGCCCGCAGGGAACATTGAAAAACGCCCTTGCAGTGATATGCTAGCCTGGATACCATCCTATTTGTATGCCAGGGCTCCCACACTCACTTCCCTAACAACTACAAATAGGAGGATGGTACCCAGGCTAGCGATATGTTGCACTCTTGGTAAATAAATGAAATGAAAATGAAACTACTGTTCTTTTGTAGAAAGTTATTTGTATAGAATCATTCAATGTCTTGTCGGCAGGGCACATTGTTAGAAGGCTCTTACACTGTGTGTGTGTGTTCATGTACAGTTTGTTTAGTTATCTGGTTATTTGCCTCTTGATTTGTATAATAGCTACATGTATTATAGTATTACAGTATAGTATAGTATAGTATAGTATAGTATAGTATAGTATAGTATAGTATAGTATAGCTGCGCTCACTTGGTGGCTTTATTCGGTGGTTATAGCAACTGATAAGGCTTTATCACACCATATTCACCTCGGGGCGGGACATTAACCCTTAAGTATAGTATAGTATAGTATAGTATAGTATAGTATAGTATAGTATAGTATAGTATAGTATAGCAGGAAAACTGTTAAATGTGAAGTACTACAAATGTACCCCAAGTCATGTCTATCATTCCATGACCCAGGTCATCACCATAGTGACGACCCCTGAGGTTGTACAGTTTGTGACCTTTGCTGTTGAAGGTCACCTTCAGACTTTTGTTGGCAAAACAACTCAGGTATTTATGTTGCCCCCCTCCCCCAAAGTGAGCACTTGGTACTTATTGGCTTGGAAGACATAAATGTCTTATGGTACAATGTAGTCTACAGTTTTACAGAGGAAACAATCAAAAGTTGGATTTATGTACAATAATCAAGTGCAGAACAAAACGCAGTAGGGAGTTGAAGTTTCCAGTAGTTTGCATGACTTTGGTGACAAGAAAATGTCACAGAACAAAAGTGAGTCTTTGATGAGGTGTGTCGATAAAAAACGTAGACATCCAGGTAAATTACTGAGGAAAAGTACTGGATGCTACTTGAAACATCTTTAGAAATCTATCCAGTTGCAGTGTTAGAAATACCCACCTGTAGTCTGCATTTTGCTGCAGAAGAAAAAAATCAAGTAACATGCAATTTTGCAGACTGAGAATGTTAAATGTTTGCCAACATGCAATTTTGTATGTGCCTTGGGCCTAGATCTCAAGTTTTAAGTGTGTACTCGCAGAAAGTCTCCCTGAATTGCAAAACAAAATTTTGACATTCTGCAATTCTCGAGAAGACAGAAGTATTGTACCGGTATTTCTGCCACCGAGGTGCTTGAGTAACTGTTTTCTTGTGAGATGTTTTGAGGGTAATTTTGCAGCCAGGATGTTACAACTTGCCCCAGGGTTCACACTACTCTGTAATTTGCTACATTTCACGTTTTATTATGGTCCAATTAAGTGTGTAATTGTCTGCTTGGTCAGTAATTAGTGTAACTGCTAATTAGCACAACTGTAGCGTTGGGTGGGCGTGGCACAATGTAGCAGTTTAAAATCTGGGGCATGTAGCAAATTAAGTCTGTGTTACAATGTAGCGTCTGTACAATTATAGGACAGCTACAGGTATTCAGTGTCCGAATCTGTATCTGAATAACCTGCTTGTTGTGTCCAGCTCCCTATGTGTAAAATAACTTAGTATAACCTGCTGTTGTTACATGCTGCAATACTGGTTATCAATGTTAACTAATGCCCGGTTATTGATGATAATCAATGCCTGGTTATTGATGATAATTAATGCCTGGTTAATGATGATACCTCATGCCTTGTTAATGATGATAACCAATGCCTGGTTAATGATGTTGACTAACCCTTGTCTTGTTGAATGGTGCAGTACTTATTATTGATAACTGACGTCTGGTTAATGATGATAACTAATGCCTGGTTAATGATGATAACTCATGTTTGGTTAATAATGATAATTAATGTCTTACCCACTGTCTTTTTGCATGTTGCAACACAGATTATTACTGATAATTGTGCCTGGTTATTGATGATAATGCCTAGTTATTGATGATAACCAATGCCTGGTTAATGATGTTAACTAATGCCTGGTTAATGATGTTAACTAACCCTTGTCTTGTTGCATGCTGCAGTGCTGGTTGTGGTCCATCTCCACTGTGGTGTCTAACGGGTCTCACACCAGTGCAAACCTCGGGTCTCTCACCAGCGTGCTAACGGGTCTCTCACCAGCGTTGTGCTCCGTGGTCTCTCACTGGCGTTGTGTTCTGTGGTCTCTCATCAGCGTTGTGTGTGCCGTTCTAACCGCAAGTTGCTGCAACTGAAGCATCAATGCCTGTAGCCCAGGAGGAGTCTGGACAAGGTAACACTAACATTCTATTTACATACTGTACAACACAAAAAATTCTCTCACCTAGAGCTTTCGACCAGTCACTCTGGTCTTCCTCAGTAGACTGACCCAGTGAAGCTTGTCACATGGCTTCTTTGAAGTGTGACGTCAACACTGGGTCAAAGATATCTGGTAGACTATGTACAACCTTGGGTGTCAAACATATGCTGTAAATTTCCTGTTATAGTACTGTTCAGTATCCAACTGTTACATTTATACATGCACACCAAACATGCAAACTTCATCCCTTCCCTCCTTCCTTCCATCCCTCCCTCTCCCTACTAAAACCTTGTTGCCATGGCAACATGTAGATTTGCCCCCGTCTCCAGCTTACCAACTGGACTAAAGTTTCCAGGAATGTGCTACAGGCTTCCTGGAATTGAACTTTAAAATTTGTAGCAGACTGAGACGATTCCAGGAATTACTTTCCTGCCCAAGTGCTATCTAGGGATCCGATAGTTGTCTTAGATGAATAGCTGGAACTTATGGAAGGGTCTCAGTAAGAAGAAGACTTCTTGGTATTGTATCAGTTGTTTCCTAGAATTTTTTACTGACTTGTTGTTCCTCTTTTTTTTAGAATACATTATTTCTATTAGCTGCTAGTTTTCAACTTTTATAAAGCCCTTCTGTGTACTGTTACAGAGTTGTTGACCTGTTTGGTTGTTATGTAAATAATCGTTACCTTGTGGAGTAAAAAGTTGTTTACTCTGAGGCACCCTGTTGTTTACCTGTTTTGTTTGTGTTGAGCCGAGTGTTGTTGACTTGTTTACTCGGTAGAGAAAAACCATCAGGGTTTAACGGATACTAACGACCATATTTGGTCAGAAGATAGATTACCGGAAGCTAACGACCATATTTGGTTACTAGATAGATTACCGGAAACTAATGACCATATTTGGTCATAAGATAAATTACCGGAAGCTAACGACCATATTTGGTTAGTAGACAGACAGTAGAGAAGCTGAAGGGTTGGAGAAGAACAAGGAAAGACTTCAGGTACTTTCGTAGATCTCTGTAATTGTCTTAAAGATGTCAGTTCTTTGGTGCATCATGTCTTGATATTCTCCCAAGTTGTGATCTTATAATCTTTATCTTATTTATGGGGTTTTCAATGGACAAAAACTTGAAGTTGAAGGTAGACTTTGTAGTGATGCTTTTTTTGTTTTGAATTATTTTAACACTGTCACTACTACTACATGTAATATTATTAGTCTGCTCAATAATTTAATGGTTTTCCAAGTTGTGATAGGTATGTTACAATCTTTATTTTATTTAACAAAAACTTGAAGGTAGACTTTGAAGTTTGTGGTGATGTCTTTTTTTATTTTGAATCTTCGTACTGTAATTTTAACCCTTTTACTACTAATTTTAGTCTGCTCGAAGATTTAATGGTTACGTTAGATGAGCCCTCAGTAGTAAGAAGGTTAACTGGTAGGGTTGGTCCAAGAAAAAATTAGGACAAGGCAGCAGTTTGACAACAACACAACCTACATACATTTTGATTTTGTTTTTGTCTCAAGTCTGAGCCTGCCCATAGTTTAAATGTTTCCAGTAATTTTCCTGTCCAGACATTTTCTGTCCTGCTAGGGTAGATGTTGTGCCTGTGTTACATGTTGTTTGTACACATGAAGTGCCTTTTAAGAGATATGATATCAGAAGTCACAGTGAGAAAGTGCAGAAGTTGTCTCTCAGTCCTTATACATGCTAGGGTGCAGTACCAGTCATGGCAGATAGGAGGCAGCCCTGAGTGAAGTTACACTGACACCAGTGCTGTGTGATTCAAGTTGCATGTTGGCAAACATTTTGTGTGTCTGGGTGAAACTATGGGCACATAATTACAGAGGCTGACACATGACAATTCCCAGTGGCAACGTTTTCTTCACTTTGCAGCACAAATTTTTGATCTGTGGAAAGCTTTATGTGGTCTAGAATGAAAAAGGGAATGTGAGATTGTGACATGATTTTGTTTGTTTGTTTGTCTGGAACTGATTCCCAATGTTCAGTTTTTTTTTTACTTGAACCTTAGCACATTTTTACAAGTCTGGAACCAGTACAGCAAACTGGTACACAGCACTAGCTGACACAGGTCCTGTTATTTTCACCTGTCTGACTGCTTAGATAATCCTCTATGTCAATTTATCAGGTAACATTTGGGTATTGTGCAGTATAGAAACTACCCACTCAGCTTTAGGGTCGGTATTTAGGGATTATGTTTTTTTAGACTTTGGGGATCTCTATTATAATCTCTAGTGATCCAACTTATACCGAGTAAAACTTGCAAGGACACTTCGATTGTATATGTAATGTTTCATCACTCAGGTGTCAGATCATGGAGCTAGAAATGGTCGATCAGCTCAAAGAAAATGTCGCTTGCAGGGTTCCACCAATAAAAAAGTCTAGGGTCGGCAGGTTTTTCTAGGGTCGGTTGGGAAACAGGAAACACAACATTTTTTTCCAACAAGGCTATTTCTTGTTCTTTTCGCCAGTGCTTTATCCCGACATAGTTCCTGTTATTTTCACCTGTCAGACTGTTCAGATAATCCTCCATGTCCATTTATCAGGTAGCATTTGGGTATTGTGCTGCAGAAAATATCCACTCAGCTGTAGCCTCTGGAGGTTTTAAACTTTAATGACCCTATTGTTGGAGACAACAGCCTTTTCAGGGGCTGCAGATGAAAGCGATATTTAGCGACCCGGCAGCTGGATCAGAGGGTTGTGGGTTCGAAGCCCGGCTGTTGTTGCTTACTTGGGCCGAGGAAAAAAATGTTGTGTTTCCTGTTTCAGTCTTGAAAAAAAACTAGAGTTCCACGATCTCATACCTTCGCCAAATGATGTTAGCCTTTATGACTAAGACATTATAGATAAATCCCCCTGATTGTGCGAATAGGATCCTATATTGCATCAATTATATCTGTTGATCATATTCTACACCAGAAGACAGTCTTATCTTATCAATGCATGCCATTATAGCATGTCCTCATAAATTATGCAAATGAGGTCCTTATTTGAATAAATTATGTTTAATAATGTTCACGTTCACATAACTTTCAAATATCCCAAGTATGAAATTCCAGACATTACCACTATGTAATTATAACATTTTCTCGTTAATTATGCAAATTAAGTCTTCATTTGCATAATCGATATCTGCCTGTATTTCTGCCGTTCTGCATTACATATATCACAAGCTTGAATAGTCCTATCATGGAATGCAGCTGATAAATAGAATTTCCTCATTAATTATGCAAATTACATTAATATTTGCATAATTGTAATAACATTAGTCAAGCATCACTTCAGCTACCTACATGCCAAAAATCACGACGATCCATCAATCGGTTCTTGACTTATCCGCCTTTAAACATTTTTCAACTAATGCCCCTGCAATTCCAGAGCAAGCCGCTAGGGGATCCAAACTCACGTCACTTGTTCCCCAGCACAAGAGCTACCTACCATCCAAATTTCGTCACCCTAGTATGTCTAGATCACGAGATATCAAAACCGGAAGTTCAGCTGCAGTACCATAACAAGCCGTTAGGGGGCCCAAAATCTAATCAGTTCCACGTCTCATGAAGACCTACCCACCTACCAAGTATCAAGACAATCCATCTTAGCCTTCTTGAGTTATCGTGCTCACACACACACACACACAGACACACGAACGCCAACGAAAACATAACCTTCTTGGCGAAGGTAATTAGGGTCAGTAGGCAGGGATTATCTTTTTTTCTTTCTTTTTTTTATTAGACTTAAGCAATCTTTAGTGTGTGAGTAAGTTAAAATGCAAGTTATACAATACAGTTTAACAAAGTAAAACATGCATAAGGAGTGGACAGATATTTGCAAATCCAATGTCAATGTAGGAAAACCGATTGTACAATGTTTCATCACTCAGGTGTCAAATCATGGAGCCAGAAAAGGTCGATCAGTTTGAAAAATTTATGTCCCTTGCAGGTGTCCACACAAAAAAAAGGCTAGGGTCAGCATTTTTTTTCTAGGGTCGGTCAGGAAACAGGAAACACAACATTTTTTTTCCTTGGCCCGTCTTCTGCATCAGTGAAAAGGCTGACAACACAAAATTGGCACACTGACTGAGCCGTTTTTACTCCACTGTTTATTGCACATATTGGAAAAGCCATTTCACCGGACATCAAGCCGGTATATCATATAACACTGTGTAGGGGATATGGAGGGGGTTTATTAGCCATGATCCTAAAAAAACGGGTCATTTCATCTTTCAGAGCTACAAAAAACCCTGAAAACCCTGTTTAGACCCTCATCCTTCAGTATTGTAACTGCAATGTATAGAGGATATGGAGGGGGTTTATTGTCTAATGGTATTCATAGTCATGATCCTAAAAAATGGGTCATTTCACAGATACAAAATAAAACCCCAGAAAACCCTATTTAGACCCTCATTCATCCTTCAGTATTGTAACTGCAATGTATAGAGGATATGGAGGGGGTTTACTGTCTAATGATTTCATGGTCATGATCCTAAAAAATGGATTTTCGGTATCTATCAGACACCTTAAAAAGCTTCCTCAGACTGAGCTTTGATTATATTCAGCGATGTAATAGTTGTGACTGATGTTTTCTTGACAGCAGAGTCTGTCCACTATTTATATTGATGACTATTGTTATAGCAATAAGTGTCTAATAGTACAATAGCACCATTATTCCTGACCATATTAGCTTGAGAATCTATTGTACAGCAGCATTGCTAATGCTTTTAAAGTCCTAATGTAAAAAAAAAAACCCTGTTTAGACCCTCATCTTTCAGTAGTTTTGGAGTTTAGACTGATGTTTTCCTGACAGCACATTCTGTGAACCATTTATAATATTATGACTATTGTTACTGCAGTGAATGTCTCACCACCATTATTCCTGACAATAATAGGCTGATGTTATAAGCCTGGAGGGAGAATCTATTGCACGGCAGCAAGCTTTGATTGATAATGTATTTATAGTCC